CACCACTTGACCACTTGCCGACCTTCTAGAAGGACTACAGCTAGGCCTCTGGACTCTACTTGGACTCCCACCTTACAGGTCTACAGTTCGAATCTCCCTACAGCCTACAACCTACGRCGACCTACTTACCRCTGGCTATCGTGCAGGTCACGGGTTCAACTCCAGGGAACTGTGCAGATACTGTACACAGGTAAGCTGAGGTCAAGGGATCGACCCCTGGGATCTGCATCGGCTACTGCCAAAGGTGAAAACTGTTTCAATAGCCGATTGGATATACTTTTTGGCCAGCACAGGGTTCTCTTCTCCATTCAAAAAACAATTGGAGATCATGTCCTTCAATCGACGTTCATCAGCAGGCAAAATGGTACGTGAAAGTGAGTGGTTAGTCGCCATGTGGACAATTTCCAAAGATTTTTATCGCTGGTTACTCTTCTACGAAAACCAACAACCCAAAAGCACTCACAGCTACTTCCAAATCACAAAAGCAAAATCAAAAGTGCAAACACTAAAGCTAATCCTAACGGAAATACGTATATTAAAATTAAAAAAAAAAAAAAAAAAAAAAGAAACCCTTCAATTAACCATTTATATGACGTGTGTAGAAAATTAGTATTTTCGGATTGAGGGGGCAAATAAGCTCAGGCGGGGACTTACCCCACGTTGACAAATGCCGTATTCGTGATCTTCCACCACAACTGGGTAAGATATATCTTCCCACCAACAACAGCTCTGATCAGAGATCCAGTGTACGGTCCGTGATCATAAAACCTGCCCTTCACCAATTTCTATTGAAACCGTAAACCGATCGGCAAGAAAATTTTCTCTCCTCATGAAATGTGGCCACGTGTACATCAACACTTTAGTAACAACAGCGGATGATGAACACTCCACGTCGAATGTGGCAACGTGTACTTCAGCGACCGCGGCTGATGATCAACAGCAAAAGCAATCCTGATGCATGGCCGTCCAGCACCAAAAACCATTTCCAACCAGTGCCCAACGAGAGCCGTGATTCGGCCAGCAAACTTTTTCTCTGATCAGCTGGATACCAATTAGGACTGCGCCTCAGGAACATCAACAGAAGCAGCGACCCCACGTTGACAAATGCCGTATTCGTGATCTTCCACCACAACTGGGTAAGATATATCTTCCCACCAACGACAGCTCTGATCAGAGATCCAGTGTACGGTCCATGATCATAAAACCTGCCCTTCACCAATTTTTATTGAAACCGTAAACCGATCGGCAAGAAAATTTTCTCTCCACATGTACAATAACAGCGGATGATGAACATTCCACATCAAATGTGGCAATCGTGTACTTCAGCGACTTCGGCTGATGATCAATCAGCAAAAGCAATCCTGATGCATGGCTGACCAGCAACGAAAACCATTTCCATCCAGTGCCCAACGAGAGCGGTGATTCGGCCAGCAGACTTTTTCTCTGATCAGCTGGATGCCAATTAGGACTGCGCCTCAGGAACATCAACAGAAGCAGCGACCTATACGTCAACACAACATTAGAGACAGCGGACCTCATCAACCAACTACTCTAATCAAACGAACAATACCCCTCCGACAGAGCAATACTGACATGTCCATGTATCACACCCCAAAACTTCAACCAACACCATCTCCGCTCCAAGTGGATAAGAGAGCCCGTCACCCAGAAGCTAACCTGGTGTGTGATCTTCTACCATCTAAGCCAACTACCCCACCGACACCGACGATCCTACGGAAAGATATCCTGTCTCTGATAATTATATGGCAGACAGGAAAAGGCGCAGAAACCTCAGCATGTGATGTCGAAAAGCAATAAATGCCACATCAGCATACTATCAATGACAGCAGCATTTATCATCACACCACCCTTCCAGACAACCACGAGTAGACCATGTCGAAGCAAGTTTCCTATCAGCATCCGAAAAACTGTCTCCCCTCCCAATAATCAATAATAAATCAATAAAGTAGATAGGTCAAAATAGAATCGTTTATGTTCCACACCTGGGGACCAGATGTGTCCGTGTCGACACGACGATCCTGTTTACATATAGCGTATAAAGAGCACGCCGCCCCCGCTCCCAACGCTCTCGAAGGGTGGCGTTAGACAAACTCCGCAGCCAATTCGTCTGGCTATGGCCGTCGCGGGTGGAAGGACGACCTGGGTGTGGTGACCTCAGGTTCCACGTCCTACCCGGCAGCTTCGGACCGCAGCGCTAGGCAACCGCGCGATGTGCCCAAGAGGATCAGTCTTCGATCACTCGATAGTCCCTTTGAAATACATAGGTGAAAAGTTGAGCAAACATGAGTATGAAACCATCAGAAAACAAATCCCATGCTGGAACGGGTCCAGCGTCCCATAGCATCTCATAGCAGCCCTTTTCTCCCTGTTCCTAACCTGTGGCCTGGGCGGATATAGGCAGGAGCCACTGCGGGGTCACTAGTGGGTCCTCCCTCCGTCTCCTTGCCGACCCCAACTTTCTGAACCCTCATTTTTTTGTGGGAAGCAGCACGTGCTGGAAACCGGGCCCAGCGTCCCTCAGAATAACAGCGCATAACAGTGTGTAAACTCAGGTTCACAAAAAAAAAAAACCTGAGACCCCCCTGGATCCTGCCAGCCTTGATTGCCCTCACTGCAGTGGAGGAGGACTTGCGTGGGCCCACAGAAATGGGGCAAATGGACTGTAAGATGTCCTGGTGCTGTGCTATGTGGAAATGCGCAGAGGCTGAAGGCGGAAAAGAGAAAAGAAAAGGAACTGCAACAAGAGAAAAAAAAAAAAACAGATCGTTGTTTTTCTATCTTTTCCGTTTTTTGGGAACAAAACTGGTTTTTCATTAGTGCCCGCCAGCCCTTCGGATTT